GGGCCGGGCTAGTCCCGGCTGCCTCTTTGGGGCACCCCTCTGCCACCAGGCTGTGTCCCACAGAGAGGTGGGCATCGGGGCTCTGCGCCCCGGGAGATGTGGGGTGCCCCGGCACAGGGATGTGAGCCTGGCTCCTGCCCCAGGGTATGTCCCAGGCACCCTCCACCCCCGGTGGGGGCTAGAACAGCCAGGAGGGGGGCAGGACGCCTGGGTGCCCACCCAGACTGGCATGGGGGAGGGGTTAGCATGCAACTCAGCACCCCCTGCCCTCCCCGTTCCTCAGTTTCCCCAAAGCAAATGAGCCTGGACAGGCAGCACTGGCAGCTTTATTCCCCGTTAGCCAGAGGGTGGCGAGGCTGGGGGGGCAGGGAGGGGGCTTGCAGCCCCGGTGGAGGCAAAGGGTGTCTCAGGGGGCTGCTGACAGGCGAAGGGGGCGAAGAATTGGGCAGCGAAGGAGACGGGGTCGTGGGGTTGCTGTAGGAGCAGGGCCTGGAGGAAGTCGGCCAGCAGCGCCCGGAGCTCAGGGTGCTGCTGGATGTAGGCAGCGTGGGATGCTTGCAGCTCCTCCTGCGATGGGGTGGGCAGGGTGGCCGATGGTGGGGGCGCCGATGTCCCCTCCTGGGCTCCGATGTCCCCCCCCCAGCCACCATGCCGGGAGGTGGGTGAGTGGGATGCCCAGGTCCTTTTCCACACTTGAGGAGCTTGGGGGGGTGCTGACCAGCCTGATCCCCACTGTGCCCCCCAGGCACCCTAGGGGAGACCCGGCTGGGGAGGCGCACAGCCCCATGTCCCCACATCCCCCCCATCTCACCTTTCTGTCCAGGAACCAGGACCAGAGCTGGATGTCCTCCTCCCAGTCCAGGGGTTGTTTTGGGAAGGGGTGTTGGGGCTCGACCCCACCTGGCAGCAGAAAGGCAGGGCAGGGTGTTCCCCACTTGGCTGCCAGACAGCAGGTAGGGGCTGCCCATGCTGGGGGGCACAAGCCTCCCCCCAGCCAGTACCTCTTTCGCCAAGGCCAGACTCATCCCCCACAAGC